TATCTCTCTGTCCTGCGGGATTCCAAGGTAAAATTGCGATCTCGTCAGGAACAGATGTATGGGCGATCTTCTTATTTTTGTTCTTCACTTGTTAATTTGGTTCTTTCTTGCTCCTCGTATAGAATCGGATCCCAATCTCCTTCACTTGAATAATTTGTTTTGCTGGACTGCAAGACACTGAAATATTCAAATTCTCGACCGCTTCAAATCTTCGGGGCTCCTGATATGCGAAACATGTCATATCCTTATCAGCTTCTGGAATGCCAATAAATTCCGTAGGAAACATTCGACCATGCCTCTTCATCTCTGTATTGACTCTAATTCTCATCTGATAAAAAACAAAAGCAGCCAATTCTGACGCAGCATATGTAACACACATACTTAAGCCTCTGAATTTTCTCATGCTAGGATACGAAGGCAAGGTAACAGATATTGAAGATCCTTTTTCATAAAATTGAAGCATGACGGAATCTTGTTCCAGGGAAGGAAGATTCTGAAGCCATCGTTGTCCTCCTGAATTAACTGTACCAAAAAAAAAAAAAAAACCAGTAAAAAGAGCATAATTTAAACATTAAATATTATAAATGATTGAGATGCTCTAGACTTTGGCCATTAAATATTTTAAGAGCTAGAAGGAGCACTTGGGGAGGAAGCTTCCTTTTTATGTACCAACGGCCGTAATACAGCATCACCTCTGAACATTCCAAGATGGATCATAAGTTAGACGGCCCCAAATTGTTAATCATCTCATCATCTACGTTTTCCAAGGGTTTTAACATCATCTGTCCCCCACACTTCCCTCTCAGAGAAAACTCAACCAGTTTTGGTTATCGTCAAACGCATATGAAGTGCAATGTTTAGACAATTACGTAGTTACTGTCTCCAATGAACTACACCCGGTGATAATGAAGGTTCTCAGTTCCTGTGTCCATGTAACTGATATGAGCCTTGGACACGACTCAAAGACAAGATCATTGATCCCAATATGGCCTCTGATGCATTCAGGAAGGCTACAAATTGGATTTTCACTTAAATCTATCTTCCGCAGCATTGAGAGGGTGACTAAATCACTGGGAAAAATCACGATCAGACAGTTTGCATTTCCGAAGTTCTAATTTTACTAGAGACCGCGGCAAAGAATCCCATGAAATTCTGGATTTCTTCTCGGCTTTAGCAATGGACAAGGAGTAATGAATGGATGCCATGCTTTTTCCTCCACAGTATCAGAAAGCATCACCTTCACATCAGTTCTAGTTGCATGAAGCAATACGAGAGACTCCATATTTCTCATCCCTGCAGGCAATTTCCGAAGATTTGAGAAACCGGATATGTCAAGTTCTTTTAAAGATTTTAGCATACTAATACATGTTGGCAAGTTCTTGAGCCTCTTGCAATCACTCAAATTCGAAGACTGAAGCTTCTACAAGTATCCGATAGATTCGTGGACCTCAATCAACTTTGTGCAATTACTGAATATAAGCTTTTCCAACTTTGGGATACTTGACAAGTAGGGAGTTGTTGCAAGATTATGGGAATAACTAAGATTAATGATTTTCAACGATTTGAGGACTGCAAAAGGAAAATGGGGTAGGATATCAATACTTTCCTTAAAAAATTATATAATTTTAAATCAAGAAAGTAAATGGAAAAGAAAAGACAAATAATAATCGTAACTTGGCTCCATTCCAAACATTTTTTGGGGAATTATAGCGCATATCAAGTACAACAAGTCTCTCCAGAGAGAAGTCACTAGGTATACATGGTAAATTGGAGCCATGCCAACACAACCATCTTAGTGCTTTGTGAAATTTTGCATAGCTTCCCCTCAGCTGTTCATAATTGAGCTTCAAAAATTTTAAACTACTCATCTCATCAAAAGCATCAGTTTCGAAAGCTTCTTCATTGGGATTCTCTGAAGCAGGCCCTATTGAGTGCCAAGATGAGAAACTGGAACAATATCTTTTAAGAGAAACAGATACATTTGGCACCATTGATTTGTCTTGGAATTCTTGGAAGCTGCGTTTCTTATTCATGCTAAATGGCATCTTGGTGGATTTATCTTTTCTCACCAAATGCATGTTAAGAGCGAGGCCTTGAATATTTCTTTTGCCTTGACAAATAAGGAGGAAATAAGAAATAATTTTCATAACATTATCTATGAGCAAATAAACCAAATATAAAAGTGGCAAGACTAGGTCTTACAGTTTTCTCTCTCAAAACAATTAAGGTATCTTTATGATTCCAAAGTCTGCTATGCTTCCAGGCAGTCTAAGTGATTCTTGACCAGCTACTTCTCTTCCCATGTCTTGGACCAAATGATGCATCACTAACTTGTTATTTTCAATCATTAATAGACATCTATCAATAAGATCACGAATCCCAATTTCTGTGTGAAAATTACATCCATCAAGGATTTCAACAGTGCAATCTTTGTCATTTCCAAAAAAAAAAAAAAAAATTCAAGCAAATATGAAGGAACAAATCTCTATCTTCTTCTTCTTGCAAACTATCATAACTTAATTTGAGTTTGTTAATGATTTTTCTTATGAAGAATCATTTTTAATCTTTCTATTTGACTCTTCCACATATTGAGTTCTAATCCACGTAGTGAAGAAGCCAAAATTTTAATAATTAAAGGAAACCCATCACAATAAAATACCACCTTCTTGGTGATGCTTGTATAATTATCACTAGGAAATTTTTAACCAAAGACATGAAAACTGAAGAGCTCAATTGAATCATTGTATCCCAATGTAGCAACCTTGTGGACCTTCTAGGCTTTATGAGCCCTTAGGAACCACGAAATAGCCAATCTTGCATTCCTAGCACAACATCTATTTGTGTCCATTTATCCATGTCATCAAGAACTATAAGAACTTTTTTGCACATGAAAGCTTCTTTAATCTTGATATTTCCTACATCAACGTTGTTTATTTTCACATTTCTCCCTCTCAAAATGCTTGAAAGGAGTTGTTCTTCTAAACGAATGTAACCATTGTGTTGTTCCGTAATTTCTCTTACGTTTGCAAGAAAACAACTTTCTTCAAATCTTGAGAGGTTCATGTTGTACAAAGTCTTGGGTAGAGTTGCCTTCCCTATTCCACCCATCCCACAAACCACAAATTAATTTGTTTTATTTGAAAATTTCATCCGAGGAGGTGAGAATCTCACTATCAGAAAATATAAAATGCGCAACATTTTTTTTAAACACAACTAGAAATTTATTGCCATTAACTAAGTTTTGACAACAAAAAATTACATTTGTAGTTGAATAACTAAACTTTTTATAACATAAATCCTATTTTGTTCTCAAAACTATGTTGGCCATATTAGAGAGTATTTACAACAAACTATTTTGTTGACAATAGAGTATTACTTTTGGGTACAACTAAATTTTGTATCTAAATATTTAAATTTAGCAACAAAATTTTTCATTCTCTATGAGTGTTAAAATACAACAAATATATTGTTGTGAATACTTTAATGAATTGTCAATGATGATTTAATGTATTTAATTATTATATTAGTTTTTACAAAATATTTTGTAGCCTTTGCCTCTTTTTAGCAATAAAATACAATGTTGGGAATGATTTAATATATTTGCCAACAAAAAAATTAGTGTGCACAAATGTGTTAATTATTTAAGTATGAACTATGGAAAAAGTGAAATAATTAATTTTCTAATATTTATTTAGATAAAAAAAATCGATTACTTGATTTAAAATGTTGGTTGTCTGTTTTACGTGCAAAAGTAAAATAATTATTAGCTCTCTTTGTCATAGAAAAAGGGGCTGAGCAAAGTCAGGTGTAGTCCCCGCGCTGGGATGAAATTCGTAAAACAAATGGAGTTCTTCACCCCACTACTCAAAGCAGTCTTAAGGGCTAAACTCTCTCTCTCTCTCCCTCTCCATTATATGTTCTCGAAAGAAGAAATAGAGTGAAAAGGCAGGAAAAGAAGAAAATACAGGACTGTCATTCTCTCTCGCTTTCTCTCTCTCTCTCTCTCTCTCTCTCCTGGATCTACTTCTTCTATCCCTTTTTCCGTTTTTCGTTGGTAAATTTGGTTGGTAAAATATAAAGAAAGAATTGAAAGGGGCTTTCGGACCTAGGTTCAATGTGGAACAAGTTGAGAATCACCATTTTAGCCCTATTCTTGTGGGCTGCTTCTTCTTCATCTTCTATTAATGCCTCTGTTTCTTACGATGACAAGGGCTTCATCATCAATGGCAGGAGAAGGATCCTCTTCTCCGGCTCCATTCACTACCCCCGAAGAACCCCAGAGGTATGTATATGTATATGTATGTATGCATGTATATTTTTTGGTTATGGGTTTCTTTTTCCTTATTTTATTTTTTGGGTTTGTGGCAGATGTGGCCTGATTTACGTGTTCTGGAATGGACATGAGCCCTCTCTTGGACAAGTAACAAGAAAAAAAGAAATTTTTTTAGGGGAAGACTTCGGTACCTACTCCAAAAACATTGTTTTCAAACCTTCTCCACATGAACCAATTATTATTAGCCACGTAGATTATTCTAGGGACCAAAGTGAAAATACTTTGAAGGATCAAAGCAAAGTGCAAATACTTTGAGGAACCAAAGTGCAAATATTGCACTTTGGTCGTCTTCCTCCTCGCACTACCTGGACTTGGTATCGGAGTCTCCTCCCGTCTTCCTTTTCTGAGTCTCATACCAGTTCCTCTTTAGCAACACCTCCGTCATCTCAGTCGAGGTCTACGTCGTCCAATGCTTCAAGGACCCGATCATCGGCAACGTCTAGTTCCTACTTAACAGCTGCATCTCCCATTGCTCCTTCGCTGGCACTCCAGTGTTCAGCGCCGTGCAGATCTGCTGCCCCTTAGGCCAGTTCCACAACGTCCTCAATATCGCCGCAACCTTTCTCAACAACTTGGACATCGCCGTGGCCACTGGTTCGTCGGCCATCTACTTCCGAGACCTAGCCAGAGCGAAGGACCAAAGTGCAATTACTGTGCCCACTGTTGGTCATCTTCCTCCTCGCAAAAACCCTAGTCGCTGCACACCTGCAGATTGCCAGCTTGCACGCCGACCGGCAATGGTGACGCCGATGTGGTCATCGACCATGAATATCTTCTTTTGGTGCGATGAAAGCTCTAACTGTGCCTTGTTGACACTTGCCAACACCACGTGGGTCTTGGATCGAAGCCCAATTGCAGCAGAGCCCTGCTTCACCGCCTCCATCGCGTACTCCACCTAGAAGAGCCGCCCCTATGGGCTCCACTTGGTCACGTTAGTGTCGTACTGATTCCTGAACATCTTCGCACTTCACTCTCTCCCTACCCCTCTCTCTGTATATGTATATTAAACTGTGATGTGAGGATTTGTAGTTGCAGTGTGGGACACAATCATGTACGATCAACGAAGAACATAGTAAATCTACTGTGAAAAACCAGATCTGCAAATTTAAACTGGAGGAGAAAAATCACAAAAGGCCGAAGTGGACAAATACATTGCAAACCGATCGAGTTCTTGTTTACCATACCGATTGCTCTCCAGATTTCCAGATCCAACTTCCATCAACGCCGAACTATTTGAGCTTCAGATCTGAAGCGCAGCAGAGTTGTCATTCCAGAATAGTGCAGATTTGCACTTTAGTCCCTCGAAGTATTTGCATTTTGGTCCCCAAAATAATCCACGAGGCCAATAATCATTTGTCCATGTGGCCTGGAGTAATCCACGTGGCCAATGATAATTGGTCCACGTGGAGAAAGTTTGAAAACCCCCTTTTTGGACATGGAATCGGAATGTTCGCCATTTTTTTAAACTTTATTCTTTTTTTGGGGGGGAATGATGGATAGGGAGGTTTAATTGCGAAAAGATTGCTTTGGGTGAAGAACTCCACACGTGGAAAATGACACTAGCACTCCATGCCTGGTGCATTGAACACAATGTGAAGCGCAACTTGTCCTCTCTTTCTTTATTCATTTATTCATTTATTTTTTATTTATTTGTTTTTCTTCCTCTCTCTCTCTTGCATTAGTTTTATTTTTTTGAGTTAATTGACATGCAGCACAACCAAGCCTTTCTGTTTTGTGACATAAGCATTGGGTTTTCACGCCAATAACCTAGGAAAGACAATTTCACTTCCCTCTATCGGGTTTTCACATTCAGTGTCAAACCCTTCCTTGTCAATTGGTTGTAGAGCAAGGATTGATTGGTTGACTCAGGTTCAAATTTCTTCGTCTTCTCTCGACAATGTCAAATTCACTCTTATCTTGACTCTGTTTTTCTCTTGTTGAAATTGATTTTGCAGTTTGATCTTCACTCGTCGACATTGGCTCTGGTTTCTATCGACGACACAATAGGTTTCGCTCTGGTTTTTGACAGTAACAGACAACTCTTCTATTGTTTTACTTTGCTTCCATGATTTTGTTTTGCTTATATTATTCTTACTTGCTTCTACGATTCTGCAAGCATACTCTACTTGTTTTCTACGAGTCAATGTAATAGAGAGACAAATAGTAGTTGAGAAATTAGAGTTCTAAACTTGCCAGGATTCTAATTTTATGAATTATTTTCATGTTTAATTGTTTGAATTTATCTTTAAGCATTATGATTTATCTCAAATTTTATATCTCAAAGAGCTTTTCTATATTAGTAAAAGTGCAGTTGCCATATATCAAGTTCATTCAGTCTCTGCAGAAATTGGAAAATTTTCGAAAGTATTTTGAAATGATTCCAAAAGCTTATGAGAGAAAACAGAACCAAGTGTAGTCTGTCGTCTTTAGTGTATGAAAACATGTAAGGTTAATTATTGATTAACTAAACAACTTGAGACATTTGTAATCTTTTCTTCTCCCCCCCCCCTCTCTCGGGTGCATTGCAAGTCCAGGTTTACAATCGGGGAAGGGGAGAGGGGGGTAGGTTAAGGAGTTAAGCTCAATTTTTGAATTAATTTTATAATTGTTCTGGTACTTGGACTAAATTTAAATTTAACTGTTGATAATTATTTACCTAAGTTAATTGGTGTAAAATGAGAACGTAAAGCCCAATATGGGTTTAAAATGACCAACAATGACAAAAAAAAGAACAAGAAAAACATTTTCTATACAAGGCAATTTTCAGGAGCATTTTTGGCATTTTCCTTTTCGTGTTTCAGAAGATTGACTAAGAAGCCGTAGTTTGTACTAAGGTGGCACATGGGCCCACATGTATTGTGTGTGTGTAGAGAGAGAGAGAGAGAGAGAGAGCTTGTAGTTTTGTTTTTGGAAATTAAAATTTTTGTTAGTAAGAAAATTAATTAGCAAAACATATTATTTTAGTAAAAGGTTAGAATAAATTTTTGATTTTTGTGCTATATAAATCATAGAGTCTTCATGTTTGATAGGTTAGAAATTGAAAATTATTGATAAGCTAGACTTGGCATTTATTAATGAATTAGAATAAAACAATTGTAGCATTTTAAAGTACATGGGATATAATTGACACGTTAGTGAAAATTTAGAATAAATTTGTCATTTTATTTTTATTTAGTTGTCATTTCTGTGACATGGCTACCATAGGCTGTGAGCTTTCCATCTATTCATTCATGGAGAATGCTTGGTTGAGTATTTTATGCAGAGTTTATGAGATAGCTCAAAATTTAATCCTTTTTGTAATTAAAAAAAAGGACAGTCACATTTTATCTTCTGCAAAAATGGCTAATATCCACCACTGCAGAAACTATATATGCACTTTTAAATGATTGTCCTGGGATAGGGATGTGCTATGTTTGTCAGCTCTTATGCTTGATATTACTCATGTTGTTAATATTTGTAAATTATTTTTGTTAGGGTCCTTATTTATTAATATTCTCTTATTTGGCCTTCATTTCTTCTAATGAGTAATTATTGAATTTATCTTGATGAGTTCTGATGCCAAAAAATTATATCCTTGCAAGCAACAGTAATGTATGTTCACAAAAATTGTAAAGTAATGAATAATGGGAAGCAAGCACTTACTACTGATTATTCTAGAAGTCATTGGAAGTTTATTTTACTTTTTGGAAGCCATTGATTCAGTTGGCTAAGGAATTACTAAATTCATCCTTAGGAATTTCGATGTAGCCTATTCTATTTCTTTTAGGAGACACTTTGGATAGAATTTTATGTCTGTTGATGGTATTTCATTATTAAATTGGTTGTATTGAGCAATCAGACTTGGAATTATTGATAACTAAGAATATTGCACAGAAAATCCAACTCTCTTTAAGGATTGCATATACAGAAGATGAATAGTAAAGGGCATGATGTATTCAATTTTGTGGGTTTTGTGAGATAGGAAGATGAGGGGATGGTCCCACACATGGGAACTATTAATCTAACCATGGATGGGATTCCAAAAAGTAATGATTTTGCACCATTAACTAGCCATGACTGAAAGCACTATTACAATGGCAAGCTGTAAGTGATAGTGGCCCACACCTAGCATCTCTTCCTCTAGTCACCATAAACACTTAAAGGTGCGTATTCTTGAAAGAAAATTTGTTCTCATACTTAATATTAATTGGATTTGATACAAGATTATTAGAATTCTAGGCACACAAGGATAAGCTTACCAATACAGACTGTTCAATAAGCTCCTCCTAGACTTGGATCAAGCACCAAAGCTTTAGCACAAGCCTTACGCAACTAGGCCATCAAAAAGATAACAAAGAGGGATCACAGAAATCTCTAGAAATCAGCAAGCCATGAATTTGTCCCATATTTCTATAGGCTAACCAGAACCCCTTGGTTCCATAAAACCAAAAGTTCAAGCTCCGAGCCCCTTAAGTTTGATTTGGACAGTTTTGTGTCCATCTTATCTCTATCACATTTGAAACCTTCTCCCTCCTCCATCCCAGGACAACCAGACCAAAACAAAAAATTAGTAAAATTGTGCTGCAAATGTTTGAATTTATACATAGATATATGTATTTTACTTGTATATATATGTTGATGAGGTATGTTCATGATATTATTTTTGTATTTATATTTTTAATAATCATATCAATTGAGTGGAAACAATTATATGTGTACAGTAATAAATATTTCTTAATTTCTAAGTACACTATATCATTTTATATTGAAGTTGGAAATGGAGCAACAAGAAGCTGAAGCTATTGCAGAAGGTAAGGTGCCTGATCTAGATGAAATTACTGATAATGTTCTTGGGAAAAAGTCTTCTTATGTTGTAGGACTTGGACATGGTCCAAAACCAAAGAGGGATGCATCTTCAAGGTCAACAATTAGAATGCTTCAAGAAACCATAAAAGAGAAAGAAAAGGAAAATGTTGTACTTAAGGAGAAAGTTTGTTCCGTGGAAGCAAGACCCAAGGAGCATGTCTGCCTCCTTCAAAAACTAGTCTTTCAACATCTAAGTAGCCCCACCTCTTGGTAAAGAGTTACAACCTTTTTTTTTTTTTCCCTTTTCTCTCAAAGTAATTAGGATTTTTTTAATAGGATATATTGATGTGTAGAAATAAAAAAAGGAAAAAAAAAGATGTGAGAAAGAGAAATAAAGTATAATTTTATTTCATGAAATTTTCTTATGATTTGGAATTTTGAAAACTTGATATATAAGTTGCATTACATTTATATAGATTTTATTGTTATAGCTATATGGTGAAGAAATAAGTAACATACTTGTAGAAGGAATAGTTTAATTTTGGTGATGTTGGCTTCAAACAAATTTGCTGATGATGATGACATTTGTTTTGAAAATAAGATGCCAGTCTTGATCATTTTTTGATGTTAGTTTCATTCATGTATGTTTGAAATATTTTGATATATAATTCTTTATTAGATTTTATATTTTTATGAAAGGACATGATACTAGATGCTACTGAATTTTATGATGAATGACTTATTGATTTTTTGAATTATATTTTATTTGTAGAGTTTAATATATTCTAAATGATGATTTTAATATTATTTTTGTATTATAGGACTTATGAATTAGTCAAGTATAAATGAATTAAAATTTTTTAGTGACATAGAAAATTAAAATTATAAAATAATTATATTTTTAGATGCAATAATGGAAAGAAATAATAAAAATAATTTATCAACAAATTTAATTAGATTAATTCCAAATGATCATATATTTTATAAATATAAGAAAATAATATGCAACAAAATTTTTTGTTACCTAAAACTTCATTTATTAATGAAAATGCAACAATTAAAATTGTACATGAAAAGTATTTTAGGCATGAAAAGTTT